AAAAAGCTCCTAGCGCCAAATCTAGAGACTTTTTTCTGCTACTGGAGACTTTGGAGATAACATCTAAAAGCAGCGAACTCTGCTCTCCAGAGCGAGTAGATTGGTAACCCCGCCTCCTGCTCTCCTCTATCAATGGTTTAAAGCTCTTACTAATGTCGCTCAAGGTTAGAAAATAATTCATAAAACCATTTTTATAAAAATGAACTGGTGCTTTATTAAATTCTCCCTCTTTCTGCTCCTCCTGTCTCTGCTGCACCGCGTTCTACTTCTTTTCATCGGTTGGCAAAAACTAATGGTGACTTACTGACAATAACTGGCATGACGTGTGGAACTAAACGGCTGAATTAGATGTATTTCTTACTTACTTTAAAAGCTAATACTCTTAAAATTCCCACAAGTTTTCCCTTCCTGCTATCTTTCTGCACTGCTTTGACAGACCAAATCATTTTAAAAAATCAAGCCAGCACCATTGCAGCCACACAAAATTCTGCAGGCACCTGTTAGGGCAGCTCAGTGACAGCACTGGGGGCTATTTCATAATTTGGATATTAAAAAAAATATAATTTTGACTAATTCAAATGAACTGAAATCACGTGATTATGATTCTTATGGAAGCGTGTTGCATTCAAGCAACGAAAAAAAATCAGACAGCTTATCTCGCGATTACGAGATCTTTTCTCGTAATTATGAGATGAGCTGTCTGATTTTTTTTCTTTAATAGATGCAATATTCTTAGGTAAATTCTGGATGCGACACTTTAAATGACAAATCAGACGACGTCATTTTGAGAAATCTGAAAATGTTCTTTGATTCTCCAAAATGTGATTAAAGATATCTTGAATTTCAGATATCTTAAAGACATCATTAAGGACAGTCAAAATGTAGTAAATAATGGTTGTCTGTTCTATTAACATTTCTCTATCTGGAGAATGGATCTGTTTTATGTGTTCTCATTTCACAGGGCCCCCGGCCTGTCTCTGCCTAGGGCCCCAAATTTCCTAATTCTGCCCCTGTCCGGACCTTTCTGATCCATTCTAGACTTGGACCTGAGGTTCTACGGGCTTCCTAAGGGTCCCTTCCCCCCCACAGGCGATGAGTGTGTCCGCCTGAACCCATAATAGACAATAATTAATACATCTTTTCTTTATTACATCTCTACTGTCAACATGTGTCTGTTAGCTTTTAACGGATCTGTGTTGTATAGATAGTTGTATTTTATGGTTATACCAGGATATATTGCACTGTGGGGACCCACCGGTCCCTGTTGGTTCTGTTCTTGGGTTGGACTCAGGTTTAGGACTAAGTTTAATTAGTTTCAGGCTGTAAAATGGATGGAAGTCAAAGCAAAGTCCCCGTAAGTATAGAAGAACACAGAATTTGGGTCAGAGGTCATCGTCCTGCTCTCCTCCAATCACAGCCTTCACAGCGGCACTGATGGAGATCCTGCTAGAGAAGGTCCGGTCCTGCCAGAGAAGGTCCGGTCCTGCCGGAGAAGGTCCGGTCCTGCCAGAGAAGGTCCAGTCCTGCCAGAGAAGGTCCGGTCCTGCTAGAGAAGGTCCGGTCCTGCCCCATCACACCTCCCCCATCAGGACCTGCTTCCTCTGAAGCAGCTTCAGACTGTTCAGCTAATTTCTAAACTGTCCTTGAATGCATCACAGAGTCTTCTGTTCTACTGGGAGCTTTTCTAACAGGATCTGTCTGATGTTTAACCCGACCTGGTCCAGAACTCTATCGGACCTCCAGAACCTCCCGATCCAAAACACTTCCCAGGAATCAAGCTGGCTCTGTCAGACTGTTGGGAGTTTGGGGTTTAAAAAGAAGAGAAGCTGCAGAGCAGATTAGAGGTCGTTCTGCTGCTTGGCCCTGTGATGTCACTTCCTGGCTGGTTGCCATGGCAGCAGAGGGAAGGTGTCCCCGTTTTTAACCAGCGCTGCCAGCATGAGAGAGAGAGAGAGAGAGAGAGGCAGCAGCATCACGGCTGTCTGACCTCAGTCTGAGCGCTGCCTGTTTGGGACCGTTCACACAGAACTGACCCGGTTCTGGTGCTGTAACGGACCGACCCGGAACCAGACGGAAACAGTCACTCTTCCTCTATCTGAATCAGCCCTGATGTGCTGTAGCTGTGGTTCTGAGACGGTTCTGAATGGGTCTGTGCTGGTTCTGAATGGGTCTGTGCTGGTTCTGAAAGATTCTGAGTGGTTCTGGACTGGTTCTGAATGGGACTGGGAGGGTTCTGAGTGGTTCTGGACTGGTTCTGAAAGGTTCTGAGTGGTTCTGGACTGGTTCTGAACAGGTCTGGGAGGGTTCTGAGTGGGTCTGGACTGGTTCTGAAAGGTTCTGAGGGGTTCTGGACTGGTTCTGAACAGGTCTGGGAGGGTTCTGAGTTGTTCTGGACTGGTTCTGAATGGGTCTGGTAGGGTTCTGAGTGGGTCTGGACTGGTTCTGAAAGGTTCTGAGTGGGTCTGGACTGGTTCTGAACAGGTCTGGGAGGGTTCTCAGTGGGTCTGGACTGGTTCTGAAAGGTTCTGAGTGGTTCTGGACTGGTTCTGAGTGGGTCTGGGAGGGTTCTGGAAGGTTCTTATTGGTTCTGGTGGTCTCAATGGTACTGATCCAAAATCGCCTCTGACTCGTTAATCTTCTCAGATCATCTCCATCTTCAGCCCCAGTGCATCATGGGATCTGCAGTCTTCTCCATCCTTCTTCTCTGCCTCGGGACGTCACTGTGTGCTGCTGTGGGCGTGGCCGGTCCAGGTAGATGAGAGCTCAGCGTTTGTTGGTGGTGAGGTGCATTGTGGGTAACCTCTGTGTGTCCTGTAGGGGGCGCCGTGTCGTGCCCGCTGCAGTGCGTGTGTGAGACCCGACCCTGGTACACCTCTCAGTCCGTGTACCACCAGGCCCGGACGGTGGACTGCAACGAGCTCCACCTGGACAGAGTTCCAGCCAACATCTCCACAGACACTCAGGTGATTCTGGCTCCACCCGGATCCAGACGGAGACCCGTTTGGAGGCCGTTTCTAACGTCTCTGTGAACCTGTGTGTGGTCCAGGTCCTGCTGCTGCAGAGCAACAACATCTCCTCCATCAGCACAGAGCTGCAGAACATGAGGAACCTGACGGAACTGGACCTGTCCCAGAACCACTTCTCTCAGGTAAAACCAGACCCTGATCTGAAGCTGTGCTTCCTGTCGGCTCCACGCTCACACGGTTTGTGGCTCTGCTCAGGTGAGCTCCATGGGCCTCTCCTCTCTGGTCCACCTGGTCACCTTGTACGTGGAGGAGAACCACATCCAGGAGCTGGAGGACTTTGGTCTGAAGAACCTCACCAGCCTGGAGGAGCTCTACATCAACCACAACCACATCTCCTCCATTGGACCCAAAGCCTTCGATGGTCTCACCAACCTGCTCAGGTACCCCCACCCACCAGAGACGAGCGCGTCTCGAACTGGAGTTCCTGAAACAGAGGAACCATCTTGGAAAGTTCTAACGGGTTCTTTTATGGTTCTTCCTCCCTCAGGCTTCACCTGAACTCCAACCGGCTGGTGGCCATCGACAGCCGCTGGTTCGAGTCCCTGCCCTCCCTGGAGATCCTGATGATCGGCGAGAATCCCATCCTCGGTCTGGAGGAGAAGAACTTCCTGCCTCTGTCTCGCCTCCATAGCCTGGTTCTGGCCCGAATGGGTCTGGTTTCTGTCCCGTCGGCTGCCTTCGTCGGGCTCGACTACCTGGAGAGCCTCTCCTTCTTTGACAACAAGCTACGGTGGGTAGACGTAGATAAAGAGCAGACGCCTCGCTGCTCGGCATTACCTGTTGGTTCTGTTGGGCTGTACGGCTGCCATATTGGGAAGGTCACCTACTTCCCTTAGTGTAAACCTTTTTGACCAGTGCAGCATCAGAATAACTCGCCGAACACTAAAGTTCAGCTACACATCAGAACATATGGCGCAGGTTTATTTAAATATTTCTAATAAAGTTTAAATGTAAACATATTCTGATAGATCTATATGTATTTTGCAAAACAAAACCTGTTTTTTCTAATTGGTTAATATCTATCAAAGCACGTTTATAAGAACACATAGATCAAGTGAAATAGATATATTACAGAGGAGTATAAATGATAAAATAGTGACTAGAAATAAATAATTTAAATGTATAAGCTGTGTAATCACACAAAAGTATAAACATAAAGTCTCCATCTTTATAGCTAGCTAGAGATCATTTACGGTATGTCTCATCACATATCTGCCCAAAGCTGATTTATTAGAAATTGAAATTGAACTTTATGGAGAAATTAACTCTGCATTTTAACCCTTAAAGTCGTAGGGAATCATCTGGGTTAAACATGTATATAAATGTACTTTTTATTAGACTATATGGTCCCCAAATTTAGAAAATTTCTATTTAAAAAAAAAATCCTGTCTTAAAATCTGTTTTTCTTCGTTATCTTCTTCAGGCCAGTTAGTTCTACGTCAGCCTGAACACCTAAATTCGGCCAATCATATATCAACGGTCATCTGTCAATCAAATCTTTTTGGTCATAGCATCTTGATTCATACGTCGCAGCTAAAATACGCAACGGTTGGAACCGCCGTTTCCCTACGACTTTAAGAAATGGGTGCCATACAGTTAGTCCAAATGGACTTGCCATATAATGACGTCATAAAAAAGGGCGGAGCCATGAGCAGATCTGGTACCAGCCCAAGGTCTCTTTGCTGTTGCCACTGATTCTGAACCTGGACTTTCCTCCAGAGAACTTATGGTCATATTGATGATAACTGGAATATAAGTCACTTTGGTTAAAAGTCTCTACTAAAGGCATAAACATAAGTAAACATAAACAAGATAGCGGCCATATTTGATGCTGCCCAGCAGCCAGTTCATCTGAGCCTGTTTTCTCGATGTTTCTGATGTTTCTGCAGGTCCGTACCTCGGGACGCCCTCAGTGAGCTTCCCAACCTCAAGTTCTTGGACCTGAGCAGGAATCCAATCAGCCGGATCCAACGAGGGGATTTTGAAAACCTTCAGCACCTGGAGGAGCTCAGGTTAGGCTCAGAACCAAACAAGTGTCATTGATTCTTAAAGGTACAGTAGTAGCCGTTCAAAATGGCCCCACTTTCCTT